TAGCCGGTTGAGCCATAGGCGCCAAGCTTCACAGTTTTTTCAAACATTAGTTCAAAACAGAGTGTTTTACCTGCCCACCAAGCCTGATAACCCTTTTCTTTTTTTTATTTTGTAGAGACAGAGTTTCACCTTGTTGCCCTGCTCTCGGTAGAGTGCAGTGGCATCATAGCTCACAGCAACGTCCAATTTTTGGGCTTAGGCGGTTCTCTTGCCTCAGCCTCCTGAGTAGCTGGGAGTACAAGTGCCCACCTCAACGCCCAGCAATTTTTTGTTTGCAGTTTGGCCAGGGCCGAGTTCGAACCTGCTACCCTTGGTATATGGGGCCAGTGCCCTACTCACTGAGCCACAGGCACTGCCTGACCCTTTCCTATTAACAAATGAACTCCTAAACTTTCAGATTACATAGAAACAAAAACCCCACTGAGCCCCCAAATCAATCAGTCATCCTCCTTGATGTCTTCCTTTTGCTTACCTCCCAACACTTGATATACCATCACATCCTGTCAATTATATCTCTGAATATAAGAATCCAGTTCCTACAATTCTACTGCCATCCCAGTAGTCTGGATAGCTATTACATCTCACTAGGACAAGGACAGCCTTTTGAGTGCTTTTCAACTTTGTACCCACACTCACCCCCTTGCGCAGTAGCTAGCTTTGTCAATGACGTCCCAAAGCACTTCTGACAAAATCCAAACCTTGGATTATGAGGCAAAAGTACTGTGGCCCCTGTTTATCCTAACTTCATAGAAATTAGGAAGGCAGCCTTGAGCCACAATGGTGTTTTCAGTTTCTCAAGCATGCCAAGTCCTCATGAGGCTGAGGCAAGAGAATCGCATAAGCCCAAGAGTTTGAGGTTGCTGTGAGCTATGACGTGATGCCAAGTCCTTTCCTCTCTCCCAGCCTTGCATTTGTGTTTTTTTTTTCTTTTGCCTAGCAAAACATGTCCCCTCAACTCTTCATTAGATTAAGCTTCTTGTCATTATTCAGGCCTCAAACATCACCTCCTTACAGAAGACACCTCCAATGAAAGCAAGGCTTGCATTCCAGTTATCCTCGATCACTGCCTCTGATTTCCTTGGTACTGCATATCACATTATTACTTTGCTCTACTTCACGGTAGTAGTTACAGGGCCTGGCACAACACCTGGTATATAAACGTACCAAGGTGGTCTCAAAATTGAGATACAATGTGAAAATAGATAGGATTCACACAGCAAAAGATCAGACAGTGGGGTCAGGCCTGGTGGACTGCCTGAGCTCATTGATTCGAGACCAGACCCATCTCTAAAAAACAAAAACAGAAACAAACAAACAAAAACAGCCAAGAGTTATGGCAGGCACCTGTAAGTCCCAGCTACTTGGGAGGCTGAGGCAAGAGGATCTCTTGAACTCAAGAGTTTGAGGTTGCTGTGAGCTTTGATGCTATTCTACCGAGAGTGACAAAGTGAGACTCTTGTATTTTAAAAAAAAAAAAAAAAAAAAAAAAATTCAGACACTGCTTGAAATGTGTATGTTGGGAGTAGCTTCACCAAAAGAAGGTGTCTGTCACCAGGTATTTACCTGCTGCTTTTATGGGTTGAATTGTGCCCCCTCAACCCCAATTTTTTTTCCCCTTATTGAGACAAAGTTTCACTTTGTCACCCCATAGAGTGCTATGGTATTATAGCTCACAGCAACCTCCAACTCTTGGGCTCATGCGATTCTCTTGCCTCAGCCTCCTGAGTAGTGGGACTATAGGTGCCTGGCTATTTTTAGAGATGGGGGTCTTATTCTTGCTCAGGCTGGTCTCAAACCCATGAGCTCAGTCAATTCACCTGCCTTGGTCCCCCAGAGCGCTAGGATTACAGATGTGACACACCGTGCCTGGCCCTTCAACCCAAATTTGTATGTTGAAATCCTAGTACTCAGTACTGAAGACAGTCCACAGAACTCAGAACGTGACCTTATTTGGACACATTCACACAGGTACCATATGAAGATAAAGGCAGGGATCTACTCAAGAATGCCAAAGATAGCCAATAAAGTGTTGGATTCTTCCTCACAGCTCTCAGAAGTAATCAACACTACCAATACCCTAACCTTGGACTCTGGCCTCTAAAACTACAAGACAATAAATGTCTGTTATGTAAGCCACACAGTCTGTGTTACGTTGTTATAGCATCTTTACATAGCAAAGTAATAAATGTGCTCCCTCGACAATGTTCAGTTCCAAAAACAGGTTTATTTATCTATTTTTTTTGAGACAGTTTCACTTGGTCATCCTTGGTAGAGTGCTGTAGCATCACAGCTCACAGCACTCTACCAACGGTGACCAAGCAACCTCAAACTCCTGGGCTTAAGCAATTCTCTTGCCTCAGCCTCCCAAGGCAGCTGGGACTGTAGGTGCCCACCACAATGCCTATTTTTTTTTTTTTTTCCAGTTTTGGTCAGGGCTGGGTTTGAACCTGCCACTCCAGTATATGGGGCCAGTGCCCTATTCCTTGAGCCACAGGTGCCACCCTAGCCTGGCTATTTTTAGAGACGAGGTCTTGCTCTGGTTCAAGGTGGTCTTTTTTTTTGTCCTGAGACAGAGTCTCAAGCTGTTGCCCTGGGTAGAGTGCTGTGGTATGACAGTAACCTCAAACTCTTGGGCTTAAGTGATTCTCTTGCCTCAGACTCCCAAATAACTAGGACTATAGGAGCCTGCCACAATGCCCAGCTATTTTTTGGTTATAGTTGTCATTGTTGTTTGGCAGGCCTGGGCTGGATTCAAACCTGCCAACTCTGGTGTATGTGGCTGGCGCCCCAGCCGTTTTGAGTTACAGGTGCCACTTAGGCTGGTCTTAAACCTGTGAGCTCAGGTAGTTCACCTGTCTCGGCCTCCCAAGTGCTGGGAATACAGGCAGGAGCCATTGTGCCTGGCCCAAAACAAGTTTTCATAAAGAAGAATCGTCTCTCTAGTCCTAGCAGGGGAAAGAAATGTGTAGAGAAATTCCAGTGACTTGTTCTTACCTGATGGGCCCGGAGCAAGGCAGTCCTTCGATACATGTAGTCCTCTGACTTGATCACATAAACCATCTTGTAGGAATTCAGCTTGAATCTACACTCTAGCTTATCCAAGCTATCTACATTCTCCATGGTCTTCTTGCTGTTTCCTTCCTTCCCTTCCTTTTCCTGCTGCTCTCGACCACGTTGACACTTCCGAATCCGCCGAAGATTCCTACAGAGCAGAAGAGTCCTACAGGATGAGAGCTGGTCAATACAGATACCCATGACTCCCCCCACAAATGAGTTTTCCTTATTATTTAGCTACATATATACAGAAATGTTTAATGGTTTTATTGTATAAAAGAAATTTCAACTGCAAGGACACATAGAAAAGTAGAAATCTTCAACAAATTCCCTACCTGCACTTCTCTAATCCCATTTGCCTTGGCAGAGGCAGCCACTTGTTAGCAGTTACAATTTGAAACTTCTAGGCCTCTTTGAATTTACATATGTAATCATCCACTATAGTTGGGCTTTTATTAAATTTGAGGCAAGAGTCTCATTTTGTTGCCCTTGGTAGAGTGCCGTAGCATTACAGCTCACAGAAACCGCAAACTCTTTGGCTCAAGCAATTCTCTTGCCTCAGCCTCCCAAGTAGCTGGGACTACAGGCAGCCTCCACAACCCCCGGCTGTTTTTAGAGACAAGGTCTTGCTCTGGCTTAGGATGGTCTCCAACTCCTAAAGTCAAATAATCCACCTGTCTCGGCCTCCCAGGGTGCTGGGATTAAAAGTTACCTGCCCCTTTTTTGAGACAGAGTCTCACTTAGTCACCCTGAGTGGAAAACTTGATGTCATAGCTCACAGCAACCACAAATTCTTGGGCTGAAGTGATCCTCTTGCCTCAGCTTCCCTAGTATGAGCACCTGCCAAAACGCCCAGTTATATTTAAAGACTGGGTCTTGCTCTTGCTCAGGCTGGTCTTGAACCTGTGAGCTCAGGCAATCAACCCACCCCCAGAGTGCTAGGATTACTGGCATGAGCCATTGCGCCCAGACTTATAGTCCTGCTTTGAGGTTTTTTTGGTTTGTTTTTTGAGACAGTCTTAGTACGTCACCCTTGGTAAAGTGCCATAGCGTCACAGCTCACAGCAACCTTGAACTTTTGGGCTTAAGTGATTCTCTTGCCCCAGCCTCCCAAGTGGCTGGGACTACAGGTGCGTGCCACAACACCCAGATTTTTGTTGTTGTTGTTGCAGTTGTCACTGTTGTTTAGCTGGCGTGGGCCAGGTTTGAACCTACCCAGCCTGTGTTGTACTGGCTGGCATCCTACCCACTGAGCTATGGGCACCACTCAAGGTTCATTTTTAAGAGAAATAGGATCATACTACATATTTTATCTACAACTTTTCACTTAATGTCATGAAGATTTTTTTTTTAATTTTACTACATAAATTTGGCACATTATCTCTAACTGCTACAGAGGAATGTACCCCAATTAAACCATTCCTTAACAGCCTCTCTCAACTGAGGTCCTTTCTATTATGAAGCACATAATAGAAAATTATCTGAGTGTCTATTTTTAAAAATCTCATAAAGATGTTATAAACTAGTGCCATTCTACACACATAGGAAAGATGATGATTAATCTCATCAATGGATGCCCTCGGTGTGGGGTGCTAAATCTCTGACCCTGGTAGGGGTGTATCCCCAGGACCCCTCCAAGATGTCAGTGAAATCAACACTAATACGAAAATATTATTTGCCTTTTTTTTCTTTTTGGAGACAGAGCCTCACTTCGTCTCCTTCAGTAGAGTGCCATGGTGTCACAGCAACCTCAAAGTCTTAGGCTTAGGCGATTCTCTTGCCTGAGCCTCCCAAGTAACTGAGACCACAGGTGCCTGCCACAACACCTGGCTATTTTGAGAGTTGAGGTCTCACTCTGGCTCATGCTGGTCTTGAACCAGTGAGCTCAGCAATCTACCTACTTTGGCCTCCCAAGTGCTAGGATTACAGGTGCAAGCCACCTCGCTTGCCTTATTTCCCTTTTTTTACTGTTTTGATTTGTACCGGCAGTATAAAAGTAATGGCGAACAAAATGCTGGTAGTTGCACCAAACTGTACTTTGAATTCTATTCTAACCATACACTGGCATTAAGGGAAGAGGCCAGTTTCACTTAACAATGTCTTTGATGAAGAAGCAATAACATGGCATGGTGCTCATAGTACAGTGGTTATGGTGCCAGCCACATATACTGAGGGTTTCAGGTTTGAACCCGGCCCGGGCCAGCTAAGCAACAATGACAACTGCAACAACGAAAAAGATAGCCAGGCATGGTGGTGGGCACCTATGGTCCCAGCTACTTGGGAGGCTGAGGCAAGAGAATTGCTTGGGTCTGAGAGTTTGAGGTTGCTGTGAGCTGTGATGCCACATCACTCTACCGAGGGTGACAAAATGAGACTGTCTTAAAAAAAAAAAAAAAGAAGCAATAACATTTTTTGCCCTTATACCATATAAAGGCAAGGAATAACATTTTAAAAATTAAATCCCACCCCCTCCATTCACATCATTTTTGACATGCTGTATGATAAAATGGAAACTACACATAAATCACCTCTGTGTACTAAATAAAGAAAGTACAATGGTATTCTTGGAGAAAAGCCCTTGAGTAATTGCTTAAGTTGTAAATCGATCACCATTTGCACCTGAAAGAATGACTGGCTCAATTCAGCTTTGGCTAAGAATTGGTAGGTATTTTCTCAAAAATGAACAAGGGACCTATCACTCCAAGGTAAAGAATGTTGCCATTAGTAAGATCTAAATTTTCAAACAAAACTAGGAATTTTGGTCAAGCTAGGATCCACCAACCTGAGCTTGACAGGTTCCCAATACTTAAAGATGTACTTGACAAGAATAATGGTGATATTAATGAATGAGATTGGGGGTGGCGGGGGGGGGGCATTGTAAATTGTGTAGATATTTAGTAGGTCTTCATGTCTTACGTGAGTTAGGTTTTTTTTCCTTTTGAGACAGAGTCTCACTTTGCTGCCCTCAGTAGAGTGCTCCGGCTTCATAGCTCACAGCAACCTCAAACTCTTGGGCTTAAGTGATTCTCGTCTCCACCTTCCAAGTAGCTGGGACTACAGGCACCCACCACAACACCTAGCTATTTTGAGAGATGAGGTCTCGCTATGGCTCAGGCTGGTCTTAAACCTGTGATCTGAATCCACCCACCTCAGCCTCTCAGGGTCCTGGGATTATAGGCATGAGCCAGTTTGCCTGGTCTTAAGTGAGCTAATTTTGAAATGACCAATTGCATGAAGTTACAAAATCATGGATGAAAAAGATTCACTTGAAGAACAAGATAAACCAATGGATTTTGACAACTAAATGAAAAATTCATTGATATTTGGATTGACATTACAAGTAACCTTTTAAAAACCACCAACTATCACTGAGAGAGTTTTCCTGTTATATCAAAGAAAAATTTCCAGTTACCAATTCAGCTTTAATTTTTTTTTTTTTTTTTTTGAGACGGAGCCTCAAGCTATCCCCCTGGGTAGAGTGCCATGGCATCAC